TAAACCCTTGAGAGGATGTAATAAGGTTGTTTTAAATTTAAAAGAAGTGCTATCTGAATCAGAAATTTCAATAACATCTGCTAAAATTGCCACCAGAACTGATATTAAAATTGTAAAGAAAGCTTTTAAAGAAAATAAAACAATCCAACAAATTAACAGAGAATTTTTATAAAATGATTTAATCAATTTTTATGTGAGAATCTTTTTTTGTTTGAAATTCTATTTTTAATTTTTTTAATTCCTCCTTTAACACCGATGTGTGTTTTATAATGTGCATTTAAATTATCTGATCTTGAAAATCCCCTTGAACAGTTTGGAAAAGTGCATTTAAAAGGTTTTTCACCCGTATGCATTTTAATATGTCTTTTTAAATGTTCAAATCTTTTAAATGCTCTTTGACAACCAGGATAGTTACATGGAAATTGTCTTTCCGCTAATTCTTCTTTAGAAATGTTCATTTGTTTTCCCCTTGGTTTACCGTTTCCTCTTACATTCATATTATTAAATGATGTGTTACTTTGTAAATGATCATATGGGTTCATGCTAAATATATCTGATTGGTTTATTTTAAATACTTCGGTCGGGTTCATACTAAATACATCAACTGAGTTTATAGTGTTATAATTATAATTATCTTCTCTCATCGTCGTATCGTTTGAATCTTCATAATGATTTTGATAATTTTTTGAATTTGAATTTTCAGTATTATTTGATTTGATGCCTTCTATTAATCTCTGGTTGTTATTCTGTCTACTTTTACTGAACTCTTTTGATAAAAAATCATCATCTTCAATGATGCTTTTATACAAATCAAATTCGTTCATTTCAAATATAGACTTTTTAACTTGTGTTGTTTGATCGGTTATTTGTGTAGCTCCATTTTCTAAACAATACTTCTTAATTTGATTAAAAATTTTACTATCTAGAAAGTTTGTACATATCGCTTTTGATACTTCCGGAATAAAGTTATTTATATCTTCTATATAAAATTTTGAATATACATAATCATTTAGGTGTAATGGAATCCTTATTTTCATTATTTCTTCTGCTATTTTTATAAACTGATTTAACGGAATATATTTTAACGAATTTATAGTATAAACTTTTACATACCCTTGGTTATTTTTTAGTTTATACTTTCCATCGATAGCAAATTGATCCATAATTGTTAATAATACATTGTCTAGGTTATCTAGTTGATTTTCCATATAAATGAGGTAAAACATTTTTTTTAAATTTTAAGGAACCAATAACAAAAATTCAAAAGACGAATTAAATTTTTATTTATTGATTTTTTTTACAGACTTAAATTGGTTTAAAGAACACATTACAATATTAAATGATTGATAAATCAATTGTTTCATATTAACAATTTTATTTATAAACAATCAAATAAAATTCTTTATTTGGAAAGTAAAAAATATTTTTATTGATCTACATATAATCTTTTTACAACAACAAACAGACGTGTATTTAAACTTCTACCATCAAACAAAGCCTCTATAGCAGCACATCCTTCATCAGAATTCCAATTTTTTTCTAAAAAAACATTTTTTAGTTTGTTATAAAATGTTCTAAACTCTAAAAAATCATTTGATGTAAATCTAATAGATAATATTACATTTTCAAGAATAAAGGCATCTAAATAATCAGCAAGTAAATTATCAATTACATTATAATTCTCACACATCTTATAATCTTCTAACACTCTTGCAGTTTCAATTATAAACAATCTTTTAGATTCATCATTAATGTAGTTAAATGGATGAAGCCTTCTTATTAATTTATCAGCATCATTTTCAACTAAATTTTTAATTAATTTAAATATATCAGAGTTGAGTGATGAAAGTATTTCCAAACTTCTGCCAATTAAATTATCAGGTACTTGTACATGATTATTTCTTATTTGTATTTCCTCATCCGAAATAAATTCCTTTAAATTTTCAATATTAGAATAAATCAAACATAATCCTCTGATTTCTTCTCTATTAATAAATCTTAAATTATCAATAAATTCTTTTGAATGAAGATTTATAAATGAAATTGTATCTTCAAGTGTTATATCAGTTAATACAAACTTGTACTTTATTATGAATTGAAAGTTTTCTTTAATTAATTCTTTATAAGCTTTAAACCACTGAACATAACTCATTTGATGTATCTCATTCATTCTCTTATCTATAAATTCAATTTGCATATTAGTAACAGTAAGACATATCTTTTCGATACTTATTTGATAATTATATAACTGATTGATGGATTGTCCAAACTTATCATATTCTTCCACAAAATGAAGTAATAAGCTTCTCTTTTGTAAACTTCTTGAGTTCATAATTTCACTAACCTTCAAATTAGCCAAATCAGTCACCAATTCAATTATTTGAGAAAATTCAAATAGTGGTTCTTTATCTATAGCTACCTTGTAAATATCATATAAATCATAAGCTTCACCTAATTCTTTAATAAAAAAATCAAACATATTTTCAGGTTTATCAAGTCTATTAGTTGGTTTGTTACCTCTAAAGTGATAATCAAATTTAAGTTCTATTTTTCTCTTTATATAAGGAAATAAAACATATTCATTAAAATGATTTTCATACATAGATAGTAGATTTAAATTATAAATCCTATCACCCATATCATTGTTAATTATATTCATTAAAATGTACTCTTTCAATCTTCTCTTTTGCAGCTCATAATATTCATTCTTCTTTTGATCAAAGATAGGAAATATGGATGAATTAATAACTTTAAGCTTATCAAAATCAGTGAATATGTTTGTATCAAATTTAAATTCTATTTGATTAGCTTGATTAATTAAGTTTTCTAATTGCAATTCATACTGTCTACATAATAACTTCTTCTGATTATTTTTATATTTATTTACTAAGGTTATTAGCCTTTTAAACTTGTCTAACTTTTCTTTAAATTCAACCTTTAATTGATTTCTATTCCTCAATATCTGATTGTGTGTTTCTTTGGTATCCATTAATTTAGCTGTAATAATATCATTGTCTTTAGAAAACTCATCTGCTATTATCTTAAGTTCATTTATTTGATTTTCTATATATTCTTTCTTCTCTATCAAATCCTTCATTGATATTTAATTTTAGTTG